GGGGGGGGGTGAGGAATAGTTTACTATTTAAGTGAATAGTAGGATTTAAGTGAATAGTAGGATTCACTAAGTCACTAAGCATGTTGTCCAGGAAAAGGTACCTATGAGGAAGTTTTGATATTATGAAACCTTATTTATATTTGATTAATGATTTATAAGTATGTGAATAAAGAACATAACATTCTTCTAATGATTGACAACTACAATTTGGGATATAAATAGACTAAGTTGCAAATGATCTTAGGACCTCTAAAAAGAAATTTACTCATCCAGATGAATAAAAGAACACACACCAAGTAGTTTCAGGGTATTTTTGACCCCATTGTACTTTAGGCCCCATCTTCACAGAGGTAGTTATGGTGGTAGCATAGGGATACAAATCAACAAAATTATACTATAGTCAAAAACCAGCACTACTAAGAAAGTATAGAACACTTGCAAATTTTCTCATTCTTGATGGGAAAATGTGTCTTCATTCACTGAAAAGCATTAAGACATCAGGTGAGGGGGGAGTCAAGTGGTGTAAGATTTATATTTCTCATGGGGGATGTGTGAAAAATCTGTGCAAAAAAACCAAGGGTTTCAAACAAGAATTTTCCCATGTAAAAGCCAGCTGCTTTTTATACAAAAATGTGGTGTTCTGGGGGGGACGTCACCAATGGGCGGGAGAGGGAGATTCTTTTATTTTACAAAAAGTCCCAAAATGTGAAAAATCATTAGAAATGTACAAAAACTCCAATAATTCATTCATAAGGGACAAAAATTTTCAAACTCTTATTCCTGCATGCAATTCTTCATTCTTGCATGTAAAAATGAAACAAGTAAAGATTTCTATGTTTGATGCAGATTAAAGATACTCTTACAAGATGCACATGTCCAGAACAAGAAAATATGTTCACAGGCATGGAACATTTGAGAAGCTGACAAACTATTTTTCTGGAAAAAATGTTATGTACATAAATTTTATATTCTAAAAAGATTACAATGGTTACTTCAAACTTTAAAGAAACTTATTGTGATTCAAAAAATTAGGAAACAGACATAAATCCTGAAGGAAAAGATAAATTGTGATGTATTTATAGGAACATGCAGCATTAATGGTATTATGGAGTATTTTTTTTACAACAATAACAAAGTAGCCTCTGCTGAGGGAAATATTCCTTAATGAAGGACCATTCTTTGTGTAAGGCACTCTTTAGGCAATCACAGGATTTAATTGGGTACTTCAGTGGTCCTTGTAACCAGGTGGTACAAAATCTGTAGGTTCTCCTATCCATTGTACTACTTTAGAAGTAACAGTGTGCAGCAGCCTTTTTGCTAGTTCTAAGATGGTGAAAATTTTGTTTTCCACTACATTTTATCCAGATTGGAAATACAGTGGTCCCTCTGGATTCGCAGCCTTGGCACTCATCGTTTCAATCGTTCGCCCTCCTTCCCTTGCGGTTCTAAAATTGCGATACTGGGGTTCTAATATATCCCTTCTACCAGGATGAAGGTTAAAAATGGTTTTAGCATTGCCAGACCAAGCCTCCCAAAGAGATTCAGAAGTTCATTTTACCTTTCTTATGCCTCTCTTAGTTCTTTAAGAGAAAGTCAAGATTTGCAGGATTAGTTTTTTAAAAAAATAATAATTAAAAATCATTAGCAGTATTTATATTATATTCAATGTTTATATTTTAAACTTTTTAGAAGAAACACTGCCATGAAGATAACTTAGATACACACTCACATTTTTGCCATAAATGTTTCTAGAACTTGGTTGTCATCTGTTATTCCCAAGACTTCTGACATTCGAGCATAAACCTGAAAGAAGGGGGGGAAAATCCAACAATGGCATCTTAATGACCCTCTATGGTTTCCAAATATTTACTGTTCTGAAGAGATTACTCTTTTGGCACTAGGTCACAAACAAGTTGATTGAGTTTTCTGTCATTCAAGTCTATTGAATGTAGTTGTATTAGGTAGGCAACTTGGACAATAACTAAATTGTATATTCGTGTATTTCTCTTCCATTCTTCCTACTTTATAATCTACACAGTTAAGAATCACTACATAGTTAAGGAAGCTAATCATATTTTTCACTAAGCAGACACAAATAGGTGGACAAATAGCTACAAATGAAGCATAAGCTAATAAATGCAGAGTGAATCTATCCATGTATAGTCAGAAGTGAAGATCACATCCTTGGTGTCACACATTGATAAGTTATTGGAACATTACTTTATTTAGATAAACTGTTACATTCCAGGCTTTCTAACCTAATTGTCCTATTTGTGCCTGTTTTTCATATGCCCTCTCCGTGAAATTACAATCATGTTTTAAACAGGTAATTCAAGAAATGAACCATTCTGGTACCAACCTTTGAATATTATTCTACAACAGAATTGGAATTTTGACTACAATTGGGCACTACAACTAGAACAACTAAAAATGCTTTTAAAGTTTGAGGAGCCTACCCTAACTTCTTTATGAGACATGCTTTCCCCTCTTGCTTGCTTCTTGTAAGACCCCCACTGAAATTTTGATATGAAAGTTGGTATAATAATAATAATTTTTATTTTTATCCCGCCCCTCTGCAGCGCAATTGGGGCGACGTACAACAAATTAAAAACATCACAAGTTAAAACAAGATCCAACAACCCATTCCCTAACCCATCCACCCCTTAAAAATATATTAAACTAATGCAGAATTAAAATACCAAATGAAACATTTATGACAACCAAAGACTTTCTGTCCAGTTTGGAGGCATCTAGCACAATGTTCTGGTACAAAGACATTCTCTTTTATTATTACAGATTTTAAATTCCTTCACATATTTATTTATTTGTTCATTCAGTTTATACACCCTTCTCTAAAGCATCATAAATCAAAAGGTTATGCTGACTGCCAGGTTTAGTGTGAATAAGTAACATTCAGTGGTATTATGTAAATATAAGGGTAAGTGGCATGTGGGATTCAAGATCCTGTTAGACTTGCACTCCCATAACTACCAACCAAATTAGCCAATGGTGAAGAATTAGTGTAGCTGAAGGTCCACAGATCTAATGGTGTAAATGTACCCCACTCCTGCACTAATGTAAAGCTTCTTTGTTGTTCTGCTGTGTGCATTCAAATCATTTCCAACTTATGGTGACCCTCAGGTTTTTCTTGGCAAGATTTGTTCAGAGGGTGCTTACCCTTTGCCTTCTCCTGAGGCTGAGAACATATGACTTGCCCAAGATCACCCAATGGGTTTCATGGCCAAGTGGGGAATCGAACCCTGATCTCTAGAGTAACAGTCCAACACTCAAACCATTACGCTACTCTGATACCCCATTTTCATCCTTGCACAAGTATCATATCTAATAGACAGATTCTGCTTGCATAAGCTATTTCAGAAACATTTCCACAATCTATTTCATCCCATATCATTATACTAGCTATGGTTTGCTATTATGCAACTGTTAGCACACACAATCATTAAGGAAACACTACTGCCTCATATACATTTTCTGCTAGCATCACACTAGATAAAGCTAATGGCCTGATTCCAGACTCCTGATGTCAGATTTTAAAGTTGGCAATAATCTCTTTGATGTCCTGGGTGATTTGGTTAAAATTACAATCACCAGGTTATGGTTATGAAAGAACAGTAACACCAGAATCAGGGGGAAAAAAACAAAGTTCTGCCTTCCATCTGTTCAGCTCAGTAAGTGGGGACCCTGCTAATAAGTTTCCCTGGGGCGTCTAGCTGGATGGCCTACTTGGTCTGCATATACTTCTTATGTCTGCATGCTTTCAAAAGTGCCCAGAACAATTTGGAGTGGTATGGGAATGATGGTGGTAAATATTCAACAATGACAACATTGTCTTCATTATATATAAAGGAATGATCCAACTTTACAATCTTGGATTTATTCTACATACTTTAAATAGAAGGAGCAAGTGATATATATTAGTATTTCTATCGCAAATTAAATTTCTGTTTATGTAGAATCACTTATGTTTTTGATGTTTCAAAAATGAATGTATCACTACAATTCTTGAATGCTAATCTTTAAAATAAATGAGTAAGAAAAAACCCAGCTTAACTATTTTACATTTCTTAGGGCCTTTGCAGACTGCTAGAAATAGTGCAAATTGAGTCCACTTTAACTGCCCTGGGTCAGTGCTAGGGAATAATGGGAACTGTATTTTTTTCTGAGCCATTGAGCCTTCTCTGTCAGAGAGCTCTGGTGCCACAATAAACTACAGTTCCCATGATTCCCTAGCACTGAGTCAGGAGAGTTAAAGTAGACTCAATTTGCACTATTTCTGGCAGTCTGCAAAGGCCCTTAGGCTTTGCAACAGATTTCATAGCAACCAGCTATACTTACACAGTTTTTTTCCAGGATTCTGCAACACATTAAAAATACCTTCTTTGAATAACATACCTTAACATCCATGATTCATATTAAAATGAAAGAAAAAAGAAGTCGAAAGGCCACATAATCTGCTAGTATTTTCTTTTGTTGCTAATTAGCATTTGGATCAGAGTTTAACAAACAGCCTGGGATAGATGTCAAACTTAACAAAGAACACTCCTTTAATCCACAGTTATCCTTGTAGCCCTTTGCTAGTCCTTTCATCATGGATTAGCTTTGATTCCTATTATCCCATCAAGATCTATGTCAACAGTTATCCCTAGGGATGTCCTTCAACTGCTAGAATCTTGACAGCTAAGCCTGAATGCTAAACAGGATCATTACCCTTAAATCTATTTATCTGAACCACTGCATAAGTACACAGAAAAGCTTATTAACAACAACAATCTGATTAGTTTTCATATGTGACAGGTCATTTAAAGTAGCTGTGTGGGTAACATAACTCAGTCACATCTTATGGAAGGGAAAAGCCTCACATTAAAAGAGTTCAGAGCAAACATCGCATGTACTAAACCTGCACAATTGTACACAGGGAAGTATTAAACCTATTCTTTCCCTCCTATACCACACATACTCAAGCACAATTATTACTCTTTCTAATACCAAATTCAGGTTGTACAAGCTAAAGAACTGGAGTCAAACCAAAAGCACTGAAAAACTGAGAAATAAGAGAAAAATATAGGTTGAGCCTCCTTTATCTGAAATGCTTGGGACCAGAAGAGTTTTGAATTTTGGATTTGTTTTTATTTTGGAATATTTGCATACACATAATGAAATATCTTGAAGATGGGACCCAACTCCAAACATGAAATTCATTTGTTTCATATACACTTTATACACAAAGCTAGAAGGTAATTTTATATTTTTAAATATATTTAAAATATATAAATTTATATAAATATAAAAATTACACAGAGAGAGAGAGAGAGAGAGAGAGAGACAGACAGACAGACAGAATAATTTAAAATAATTTTGTGCATGAAACAGTTGGTGTATATATATATTAAACCATCATAAAGGAAAGGTGTCACTACCTCAAACACCCATGTGGACAACTTTGGATTTTGGAGTATTTTGGATTTCAGAATTCTGGATAAGGGATACGTGACCTCTACCACCATGGTCTAGGGAGACACCATGGTTGCAGAAGGAAAAATTTAAAAAACCCAAACCAAAACAGAACAAAACCACAATCAGCAAAACATGAAACGCAGCTCAGAATGTTAAGGGCGAAATGAAAACAAAAACCAGTACAGAGGAATCCAGTGTTTGAGGCGGAAGAAGGCATGAAAGATTGTCTGGCTCCCTGAAAAGGACTACGTTTGACAAGAAGTGATGATACACTGCCACATTTTAAATGGGACTTGTGTACAGAATTCAAAATATAAGCTCTGTACAGACAGAGATTTGGGATTGAACCTCACTTTTCTGCTAGGGCTGCAATTGAGATGAAGAATGCAAATGTCTATAACACTTGCACAAGAGTGGGGTTACAATATTTTCAGTGAGGGTTAGAACCCAAAAACCCACTAATTCCATTCAAATAATTTCTACAAATAATGTTTCATTTCTAACAGGATACTGTATGATCATGAGGTGAAGTGGTATCACATTGCTTCCAAATCAATTCAGTACTAAAAAAATTACAGTGTAACATTATAGACAAGAGAACATGCTACTCTGCTTCCTTAAGTAAGCCAAAAGTGGTAGCTATTTTTGTGCTTGCTATACAAAGAAAAGAGCAGACAGGGAGACATATACAAGGGAGTATCATAAAATTTTAATTATCACCTTTAAAAAAATTTGACATAAATTTTTGCTTTGATTTGTAGTTTACTTTTCTCTACATAGTCACCATCCAGATTTACACATTTTCCCCAGCATTTCTTGACCCTCCGAATACCATTATTGCAGAAGTCTGCAGATTGTGCCTTAAACCACTCTTCCACTTTATGAATGACATCATTTGTGTTGTCAAATTGGTAACCCTACAATGGATTTTTTATTTCTGGGAACAAGAAAAAGTCACTTGGTGCGAGGTTGGGAGAATAAGGCGAACGCTGCAAGATTTCAAAGCCACATCCCCTTGCTTTGTGAACTGTAACTTGAGATGAATGAGCTGGTGCATTATCAGTTCAGAGACGAATGCCTCTGGAGAACATACCACAGTGTTTCTTTTTCAGAGCATCTTGCAACTTGTCCAGAAGACTGCTGTAGTATGTGCCACTGATGGTTTGACCCTTTGCAAGGTAATCTGTGAGAATGATTCTACGACGGTCCCAAAAAACTAAGAGTATCACCTTCCCTGTTGACTTCTGCACCTTTGCCTTTTGGGGAGTAGGGGAACTGGCATGCTTCCAATCTATGCTCATGGTTTTGGTCTCTAAATCGTAATGATAGATCCAAGATTCATCCATGGTTACCAGACCAAAGAAATCCTTTTCATCCTGTTCCAACAGCGTCAACATCTGTCTTGAAAGGTCACATCTTGTTTGTTTCCGGAAAGGGGTTAGCAAATGTAGAACCCATTGTGCAGACACCTTAGCCACCTGCACTTCATTATGAATAATTTCCCACACACTACCATAACTGAGCCCAGTTTCATTCATAATCATTTGGATAGTTCCAGGATTAAACACTCCACCCTCTTCACTGTTGCCACATCGTCCGTCAATGATGGTCTTCCAGGTCTTGGCTCGTCTGTGAGGGACATGTGACCAGTTTGGAAATTCCTTTTCCACCTCACAATAGTGTCATAAGATGGGCAATCGTTTCTATAAACAACCATCATCTTATCATTAATTTGATGGGGACTATTACCCTTCAAATGTAGGAACTTTATTATGCTGCGAGCCTCAATCTTTTCCATCTTACACTTTAGTCACTTCTGGCACAACCTGTAACAAAAATAAAGGACACAAACAGCTGATTTTCTCAACATCATGCACTTAGGGACCAATGATGACACTGACAAAATTTCATCAATATATAATAACTTCTGGGCGATAATTATTACTTTACAATATCCCCTCGTATACCCAGCTTCTGAGACAAAATTACACAAAACAGTGTATTTTAATTTAATTTTAGGTTGAGAAAATGTGTTATAAACCATTATAGAAATTAAAGTTTCACTACCATATTGTTCATATAATCCTTTAGTCCTAGATATGTTTATCTAAGAAGCAAGAGCTAATTATGTCAATATTTAAAATGTGAAGCATATTATAAAACTGGGAAACTGAGAATGGGGTTCCTAAAGGTTGTATGGATATATAATGACAGTTAGAGAAATTCAATAACAGCTCTGTATGGAATGTACTCAGAAGCACCACATGAAACAAATTAAACTACAACAATGAAACCTTCACACTGTGCAAATAAGAAAATACAGAAAGTGTTGATTCTATATGTTTTGTAAAGGCTATAATAATGAATTAAGATTTTGGGCACTGAATCTTCACAAAATTACAGTAAAGTTATTACCCAGAGGCATAACATAAATGCTTCAAATCTTACAATTTCCTAAACTTTCTTTAGGTTCTGCAGCAGAAAACCAGCACTGGCACAACATTAAAACATTTTGTCATGAAATAACTTGAGGCAGTCAAACATGTATTCCATCTGAAAAGACTAGTAGAGCTAGATTTGCACCAAACACTGGAGAAAACACCCTTGTTCATATCATCCCAGGGTTAAACAAGGTGGCAATCTTCATAGAATCTCAAACAACTGGCCTAACTAGGTTGGGTTTATGTAAGTTGCATAATTATGTAAGATCAGACAAATGGTCTAGATCGTACCAAGTCGAATGCCCTTGCTTTCATTAATGTCATTTCTCAGTCTAGATTCAACTTTTAGGTACAGTAATCAGGAAACAAAATACAGTCGTCCCTCCATTTTTGT